CTTATTCGGACAATCTTTTTATTGGAAGCAAGGCGGTTCAGCTACGAGCTCCCAAGTGTAATCTGAAGTCTCTTTTGGGGGTAAGAAAACACCCTATTTTGTTTGGTTAAACTCTTGACTCTCCCCAGATATTTTTTACAATGGACACTTGACTGTTAAGCTTCAAGTTCCAACTACCTTGTAGAAGAAGCAACATACAATGAAAAATACAAGTCATCAAAAATTGAGCGAGCAATGCAATGCCATGGTATCCATTTCCAGCATTTAACATCAGTTTACAACCTACTCATATCACAGCTTCTAGAAACAAGCCACTAACAATGAGTGAACTACAATTTCATGGAATTTTCCAGTAACATGAAGATCAACCAATAAAATCAATGCCAAGAATAATCCAAAACTATCACTAGATGTCAAACATTGAAGTAACTATAATATCCAAAGCAACAATAAAGATCAACAAAAAAAAACGTAACGCGTAACCCCTTTAAGAGCGAGAAATCCTGCAGAGACAACAATTGTAGCAGAAAGCAAGTAACAATAGTTGCATGCAACAAAGAATATGAGACTTGGTGTTTTAGATCATCAATGCAATCAGTGCACGCTAGACCACAGAAATGCAAGAAAGAGTCTGAACCACAAAGATATCAAGCTACTACCAACGAATAACCAATTGTCAAGGAAGAAAGAAGTCGATCGGTGAACGGAAAGAGCGATGACAAAAATTTTCCATGGCTGAGGATGCATGATTTGGCGAAGGAGGCATCGGAGGAAACCTCGTTGTGACTGAGAAACCCGATAAAAGAACGAAACCACAACAGTAGAAGAAAGACGACATCATATTAGAGACGACGAGTGGCAAAAGAAACAACGACAATCGCGGATGAAGAAAGTGGTGGAGATGATAATTGTGGCGGAAGCAACAGCGTCAAGATCTTCAGCGAATGATACCACGTGAGAAAGAAGGCATGATGGCTATAAGATGATCAGAAGGTAAACGAAAATGAATAAAGATGAGAAGCTGTGAAAGAAGCGGCTTTCTTTTACTAAATGTGAAAGTAAATTACAAAATGCTTGGGTTTTAACCCATTAAAAAAGTACTTATATAACACTAATAAAATAAGTTTAGCAGTTTGATCTAAACAAATCAACATTTAACAAACTCAGTTAATTTTGACTATCCCAATACTAACTAAATATATTTTATTATATTTCTAACATGGACAATCAATGTGGTGGGTTACATGTTATGAAATAGAGGGAAGGTCGGATTAAAAGCAAGTTGAAGATGGTCAAAATAAGGGAATTTAATGAGTACAAGGTCTTATCAAATGGATGCATTTTTTTTGGTACTTTGCATGTTTTCATTCGTTTTGTTGAGCGAGAAAAATATAAATTACGAGCTTTGAGGAAAAATAAACTAATCAAAAGAAAAGGTGCGGGACAAGTTCAGATGTTGTTTTTCACAAAATTATTTATACACCCAATTTACAATTAACTATGTTCTTAAAGACAGTAAATATTTTCGCCATTGATAGAATGCTTAATGCTTTGTAAACTTGGATGGAAAAAACATGTAAGGTAAAATAGTAATGTAAGAAGTTAATGATGAGGTGAGACAATAAGGATAACTTTTGCCTTGGTGAATAATAATTGGAGTACAATTTACTAGTGTATATGACAGAAGATTTGATTGTCTGAATATCAGTCCTCCATGACTAGAGAAAGTACAAAGATAATTCAAATACTGAATTTGTGAATATATTAGTGTATGAGGGTTGATCTCACGCATCTTTTTTTTATTGATGATTTTCCCATTTTCTGTCATGGCTTAGTGGACTCTGTTTTAAGGGTTCTGTGTGTCTTGAAGGTTTTTTTTATGAGTTGTTTGGTCTTAAGCTAATGCTGAGAAGACCTTGTGGTGTGAAGGAAAGTCAGTTGGACATAATCAAAACGACTACTGGGTTTAAGGAGGGGTATCTTCCTGTGAGGTATTTAGGAGTTCCTTTGATGATTTGAAAGCTCACTGAATCCAATTACTTGGCTTTGGTAGAGAAGGTTAGGAGTAAGTTGGCTTTGTAGGAAGCTTAGTTATGGTGGTCGCTTGCAACTTATAAGAGTAGTCTTTTCAGCATTTTTAATTATTGGAGCAGGCAATTAATTCTTCCCAAAGCTATCATTCAAAAGATCGAACAACTTTGTATGAGGTTTTTTTGGTGTGGGAATAAAAGTTCAGCTAGAGGAGCCCATGTTAGTTGAAATATCATTTGTTCTGCTAAGTCTGAAGGTGGATTGGAGCTGAAGAACCTTCATTGTTGGAGCAGGACCTGTTGTTTGATGTTGGTAAAGAAGATTTTGGTTGGAGAAGGTTCCTTGTGGGTTACTTGGATTAGAGAGTATGTGGTGAGGCATGCTGACTTTAGGTACGTTACTTGTAACTTGTAAGTATATTTTTAGTTGGATCCTGAGCAAGTTGTTGAAGCTCAGAGGTGAGGCTAAGAGATTATTTGAGGGGGTCGTGTCAATTAGACTTTGGTTGATAGTAGCTGCATTTGTGATCGTATTAGAGAAAAGAAGGCCAAGGTAAGTTGGCACAAAGTTGTCTGGTTTTTGTAGTTATATTCCTAAGCATGCGATTATTGCTTGGATGGTTATATTGTATAGGTTGCCTACCAAAGATAGACTTGTTCGCTTTGGGATTGTCAGTGAGGATGGTCGTAAGCTGTGTAGAGTTTATAGTGAATCAAGGGATCATTTGTACTTTGTCTATCCTTATTCTTGCAGGATTTGGAGAAGGATTTTGTATGGTTGTGATTTGCAGTATGTTCCTTACTGTTGGGGTGAGGCTTTGTTTTGGGTTGAAATGAACTTGAGAGGTAATTCGTTGTTGGTTTGTATTCTCAAACTTGTTTGGTCTGTTTATTTGTATCGTGTGCGGGAAGAACGAAATAATAGGTTGATAAGGGGGTTACTCATTCTGCTGATGTTGTGTTAGACTGCATTAAGCCATTAAGGATATGGTTCGAACTAAATTGTATAGTGTGAATATAGATAGGGGTGATAGGGTTAATAGGAGACTGCATGAATTGGGGGATCCTTTAGTTTTGTGACTGTGTGTTCATTCGTTCATAGGTTGGGTTGGTTTGTAGATTTATAGTGGTCACAAGATACGGGCCTCAAGGAACCCAATGAACTGTCGCATTCATTGTCATGACGCAAAAGAAACCCATATCTTCATTATTTAAGTACCCGGAGTCTGTTGGTCTGATTAAAAACAGAAATTGTGCTCTAGGGTGGACCACCCACAGAATTTACCCCAAAAAGGCTGAGAACCCCGTAATACACTCACTTTAGAAGAATTTGAAACCCTTCGATTGAATCCAGTCCAGTCCTGCCCCTGAAACTATCTCAAAACTTGGACCAAAAACCTTTAGAAATGGTCGTCGTCAACATTCCTACATTATTATCTTCGAACGTCAGATTTTTGTTTTTCGCAGCTGCATGAATTTATATTTGCATCTCCTATAACTTTAAAAACTGATATCATTTTTTTGATATTCCTCTATTTTAATTCCTATCTAATCTGATGAATATCAAAAACCTTTGAACCAGTCATACAATGATAATAACACATTTTTGTTCTTGGCATCTTCATGAAATATCCGCAAAAACAATCAAAACTGTTGTTCAATATCACAACACTTTACTATTTTTTTTTTCTTTTAAGCATATTAATAAAAGAATATAACTTGCTTTTGAGAACAAGTGGGATTTACTCTTCCTTTTGCGATATCCGGATCATTCCTTACCGGCTTACTGCTTACAACTGGTGAAACAATTGATTATCCAATTCAATAGGTATCAGTTATAAGTCCAGTGCGTTCTTGATTTAATTCTCTTATTAATCGCCCACCCAACTTTATAAGTTACAACTGCTGTTTTGAAACCTTCGTCCCATACACATGACCTTAATCAACGACCACAACAGTCTAACCTACCATCTCGGTCCCTTTCTTCTTCCTACAAAAAGTTGGTGAAATATACTTGGTTATTGTAGGCTTGGTAACCTGCAGAAAGTGGGAATTCAACATCTTGGTTTTAATATTCATTAATAGGGTTTGGTCAGCTGATGTTAGCCCCTTTGCTTACTTCGTTGACGTGACCTCTTTTCTTTGCCCGATGACTTTGGAGTCTAAACTCTATTTCTTCAACCCCCTCCCCTTTTTTTCTTAGGATTTGTACTGGGACCAACGACCTTCTTCGTCTTCTTTGCCTTGCCTTTTTCTGGAGATTAACGAAACCCTGTTTTCGATTGTAGACAACTATTTTTGCATTAGATTTTTGAATATCTATTTGGGTTTCTTCTTTTTTTCTTTCACTTTCTAGCTTTGCTTCTGAGCTTTGAGCTCTCTCGTGCTTGAAGACGATCTTGTGTTCTGTGTTTGAGGTAAGCTTTTCACGGCTCTAATGCCTTTTCCCCTCTTCCTTGGTTACTTTTTTCATCTCTTTCTATCTCTGTTATTTGATGCACAATAAATTTCATTTAATATTTTAAAATTTATTCAGGCAGCTGTTTTTCATTGCTGTATGAATTTTTCCGATGCTTCAACATAAACTTTTCTGGTTTTAATCCGACCTTGAACTTCCTCTAATGAAGTTGACCCTTTCTTGTTGGTCTTCTGCTCTGAAAATTTATGCCGAAAGTGTTCTAATCTGCCATCGTTTGCTTTGACGTGATTATCACAATGGTTTCTTCAAATCCAGACACAAAATAATTGATAACTATGTCAAAAGAATCCGAAATTTTCATGAACTTGTCAAACATAAATATGAGTCGTCTCTGTTGATCAATCAGGCAGATTAAACACTCAAGGAAATTTGTTATTCATCAGAAGTTTAATTACTCTTTCCTCTGTTTTTTAAGACTTAACAGGAGAATTGGCATATAGGTTGAAATCAAGCATTGTTCCCGTGGATAATTCAGAGTTTTAAGGAATCAGTTTGGTGTGTTCAAGATGGGAAGGGAATTTCATGAACAGACAGATGACACTGAATTCGAGAACTATCATCCAGGCTGCATGGGGGGCTTATTTAACGTGCTGGACAATCACCATTGGTACAAAGTCAAAAAGATGCTCCCACACAGAAAGTTTAACAGAGGAAGACGTGCCAGATGTAAGAAACCCTCACCTTGTCTCATCTCTTAACCAGATTCTTATCAAAAAAAACCAAAGATTTATTTCGATTAAATGCATGGTTCTGGTGCTTTAGCAGCAGTTTTGTCTTTCTTTCTTAATTGCAGGCTGTTCAAATCCACAAACGGTTTCCATGGAGCGTGAACATGTTGAATATCAAAACTTATTAGATGCTGAGGCTGAACAAATCCAAGTAAGCTGACACAAAATTCATCGATTTTCACGTATAAATATTGGATAGGGTGATCTACAAAATACCAAATGACTGGCTTAATTTAACAGGTTCAACACCAAACAAGGAAAACTGGATCAACTAACAAAAGGTCTGGCAAAGCGCCCACACGTAAAGAGAAGGCCAAGGAAGAGAGCGATAATAAACATTGGGTTTTGGGGCAGTCTACAAGATCAAAGTTGCAGCAAAGTGGTTCAACTCATCATCTGGAACCTTCAGGTTTCGGTCTAGGTTGGATGAATCCAATCATTCTTGTCCGCAAGCGAGGTGACACCTCCGACACGAGCTCGACGAAGAGTAAAAAGCCTGATATTAATGAAGGAAAGAATGCGGACCAACAATTTGAACAAGTTGCATACAATCAGGTTGAGGCTGTGGATGTTTTGGAGATATTTAAGGTGAACAAAGATTTATTCCTGGATATTCTTCAGGATCCTGAGCTTGGTATTTCACAGCATTTCCCTGCAAACCGAGCTTCCAAGGCAGTAAAATTAACAAAATCAGGCTCATTTCCGATGCCTCATTCGCCTCGCACTGGGTATCTTAGGTCTACTACACTTGAGCACAAGCAGAAGGAAGTATGGTCATTCCGAAGGGATGAAAAATCTGTTCTGGATGCTCGATTATCCAAATCAAAGGCCACAACGAGAACCGACAATTGTTTTCGGAGCATCACAAAAGAAGAAGCAAGCTCTTCATCCCCGGGATCTGATTCCCAAAGGTGGAACCATTTAGTTAGGAATCGTCTAAAGGATATTAAGCAGAGAATAAAGCAGATCCTCCAGGAAAGGAGAAAGAGTATTCAACGTACAAGTGCCAATGAGCTCTCCCTCCAGGTTTCTTCAAGAGATACATTGTCCGCAGGTGACAGAGACACGTCGGAAAGCTCGGAAAAGATTGCCAAAAGTTGTCCGCCAAACAAAGCTTATGATAACGACATCGACAATGGAAGACTGAAAAGGATGATAAGAACAAAGTCTATAAATGAGTCCCTAGATAGATACACTCAATTGTTTCACCATAGTGGAAGCAAAGAAGTCAATTTGAACCAGTCAAGGAGCTTAAAGTTGAGAAATGAAGATAAAGTTGCATCAAGAGGGAATAATGCTCCCAAGTTTTTCAGAAGGATTTCATCCCTATCTGATCTTGAATCCTTTTGCTCCCTTCTATATGAGGTGTCTTTCAACGCGCTTTCTTCAGAGATCCCAAACAGGAGCATCCAAAATAATGATGCAGACAAGGAGACCGATGCACATAATGAGCCAAAACCAACTAGTTTCCCTCAAGATACTGATAAATCTGGAGTAGCAGAAGTTGTTATAGATGCTGAATTGCAGGAAAACACAAGAAAAGGATCGAATAACCATGTTTCAACCGGTTTACCAGTGGATAAAAGTGGCGAACAAGTTGCTAAACCATGTGAGTTCAATGAAGAAGAAGTTGAGCTTATGCAACGAACTTCAGATACAAGTGATATAACCAGCACAGCGAAGCTTTCAATGTCAGAAGGTAAATTTGTCTTACAACATCAATTTGCACATCAATGCAATTAAGATTGAACCAATGAACAACTAATAAAGTTTTTTTTTCATCTGTTCTCGATGACTAAACAGAGTTTTTTGAGAAAGAAAGGAGCAAAATAAGCCAGGAAAGTGTCGATTATAAGACCATGGGAAACAACAGTCGGATCCTGCTCTTTGAACCAGATGGGGAGGCTGATCCTTGGTACAATTACGTCAAAGACATTCTCGAGCTCTCTGGTTTCACACAAGATGAGGGGAGCCAAACGTGGTTCTCACCGGCCCAACCATTGGACCCTTCCATCTTCATGGAATTAGAGATTCTATTCCACCCTGAACTGGAATCCACCATTGATGAAGCTGGAAGCAACTGTAATCACCAACTGGTTTTCCATCTCGTTGAAGAGGCATTACTTGAGATCGGTGAAAAATCACCTGCATATTTCCCCGAGCACTTCTCTTTCGACTATGGCATTAGACTGAAGCTCAAGAGAAACAATGTTGTTGAACAAGTGTGGACCCAAGTTAGCAAAAACCTGGTATCCCAACCAGAGCATGACCAGTCATTGGATGATATTGTAGCCGGAGATATGGAGAAAAATGTATGGATGAACCTTCAAGCCGAATCAGAAGTCGTGGCACTTGACCTAGAAGACTTGGTCTTTTATGAGCTTTTAGATGAAGTCATTTGGTTTTGACACAGGAAATTTAGGCCTTGGGTTCTTGATGGAATCCGAGTTCATGTATGAATAAACAAGATTTCATACTTGTAGGACATATGGTGCCTTTGAAATGGAATTAGTCAGACTTGTACATGCAGATTTTGTGTGTATTCTTTGTTATTGTTTATTAATGTAACTAATGTTAAAGATACGTTGTTAAACATGGAGAACTTAAACCAAAATTATTTTTCATATATGAATTAATTGTAACTTGATATCAGAACTTGAGTTTTTTATTTGTTTATTAAATCAGAATTTGAGTTTTAGATGTAAACCATTTTCTTAAAACTATTATTAATAGATAATAAAAGTTTAAATATTAAACATTATCTTCAAAAAAAAAAATCTGCTAGTAATTTTTTTTATTTACGATTCTCGTAAAATTAATTTGGTATGGTTTTAATAACTGCGATTTTGAAAGGGATAGCCTAAATGAGCGACACTTAGTGATCTCACGGCGTCATATCATAAGTCGAATCCATCTCGTGCCGTCTCATTTTGTTATACTTCAGTGTTGTTCTTTCGAAAGTCGAAAAGTACTTCCGAGCTCTTTCCTCTTCTCAATGTCAACCCCGGTTCAACCCTCCACAACCGATTTACCATCCGATCCGCTCCTCAGACCCGGAGCTTTCATCGACGCCAACGCCCAAAACCAATCGGCTGAGTCATCAGAGACTCCTCCCAATGGTTCGACTCCGAATGGCGCTCAGTCCGAGACGCCGGTACAAGGCCTGGATATCTCGCCGTCCTCGGCGGAGTCTAAGGGAAAGCGGCGCTTGGTGCCTACGGAGACTTGGTTGCCAACTGGATGGTTGATCGAAGATAGGGTTCGGAGCTCCGGTGCAACAGCTGGACTGGTCGATAAGGTTAAATCTCAGCTCTAACGTGATTTCTTTTGCTCTCAAGTTTAATCTTAGTGTATTGATTATGATTTTATCGAATTTCCTCTTTTTGAGTCGATGATTATTTGATAACGAGTTACATGTATATCACATGTGTAGTTCTCATTTGGTGGGTTAAGCTATAACCATATTTTGCAGCTTGAAGAATGAAGTGTCAGTCTTAGCCACCAAATCGTACACTTTGAGACTAGAGAAAATAATTGTGTTCGTAGGTTTTACAAATTTGATTTAAAAGGGAACCCAACTTTGTTGTTCATTGCTTCTATTCTCAAGCCTAGGCAAACTAAATGATGGAATTTGAACTCTTATTTTGGTAGCCATGGACTAAAATTTAACATGCATATTGAAAGGCTAAAAGTTGCATAAACACACAGGTAATATAGATTTTGTCTTCGTTCTATCACTGAAACAAGATGCATTGTGCTGTGGGTTGCAGAAAACTATGGAAATAAGAAAAAATCTTTCAATTTATATTGATTTTTGGGTTGATATTAGTTCATTTTGACATATCTGTAATACATTTCTTGTTTATGTAGGATGTTAGAATGTAGTTGACAACCTGCTGTATTTGTATAGTGAGATAATTGGCAATGTGATGATAATATAACATACATGATCACATTTCTTGTGCAGTATTATGTTGATCCATTCTCAGGCCGAAAATTCAGATCAAAGAAAGAAGTTCTGTACTATCTAGAAACTGGAATGCCCCCACCCAAAAAGAAGAAAGGAACAGAGACTTCTGGCAGTGAAGATGCTGTAAGACTGAAATAAATAGCTTTTTGTTTGAAGACGCTGAACATTTACCCAATTCTTGACTTCATAGTTCTCAATTCACCCGCTGTTGGCGGATGCTTGAATTGTGTTTTGCAGGGTAGAGGGAACTCTGGGGGCAAAAAGCAGAAGAAACCTGATAAAAAGTCGAAGCCTTTGAACTTTGATTTCGTTAACATGCCGCAGAAAGTTGATTGGCTGTTGACGAATGCCTCCGAAGACTTCTGGATTCCCTTCTTTGGGGATGGTCAAGTAGCTGAACCAACTAGACAAGATTGGGATGCTGCATTTGTATTCGTAACATCCAGGAAAACCGGTCAAGCAACGCATTGAGGATGTTCGATGTCTGATTAATAAGACAGTTTCATACTGACCAGCAGTATGCCTTTTTTCTGTTCCGTCTCCAATGTTTAATGTTTCAGCTCTATTTCACTCATGTCTCGTCATCTTTGATTGGACAAACAGGCAAGCTTGACTCCAGTGGGGATCGTTCTTGTCCTAAGTTTATTCCACACTATTGTATTCATTTTTTTGTCATCTTTCCTCTGTTCATATGTAACATGTAGCTAGACCACGTTCTTAGTAGTTTTGTTGTTTGAAAACTAGATATGGTTTTGTGTAGTTTTTAGATAATCACATGCGGAGCTTTGTTTTTTGAATTTCATGGATTCCATTTCCTCTAGTTTCAGCAATGCATTTCGCAATAGAAGTAAACTTGTTCATATATATTAGGTTTAGTACTTGAACTATAAGTTTTGGTCCGTTTTAGTATTTAAATTTTTAATTTTTTTAAAAGCATACTTAACGTTTAGTTTTTGTATCATTTTAGTACCCGCCGATAAAAATTTTACGCGTTTAATACATAAACTATCAATTTTAATCCGTTTTAGTACTTAAATTTTCAAAAAATTTAAAACTTAACATTAAATTCTAAATGGAGTACTAAAATAAAATAAAAATTAAACTTTGATTATGTTTTTGAAAAAAATTAAGAGTTTATGCACTAAAATAGATTAAAATTAATAATTTAAATACTAAATATGTAATTTACTTTATATTTTACAGTCAGTAATGTCTTCTTAGAAATCAGACCGATGAAAACAATTTGATTGCGGAATCAAATGCTGTGAGCCAAAATTGATTGATTTTCTTAAAACTTCGATAATTTTTTTTAGAATAATTGTAACAAATAAATATATTTTATTTTATTTTTTATTAATCTAAAATTATTACAAGTGATAATATTAATTTTAAATATTTTCAATCATTTAAAAATTTAAATACTATATAATTATTAATACTTAACCTAAAAACTTTAGTGATAATAACTCTCTCTATTTACTGAAATAGATTGATTCATACATTAATTTTTGTAAAGTAATTAATTCTCATCCAGGGTACAATTCGGTTCACGGTCTCGGCTCAGCAAATAAAGAGCGGAGCCCCTATAAAGCTTAGCATGCGGGGCAAGCAGACGAGCGTTGTCTCTCGAAAGGGTCCCACTTATGATCAAAAGATTAAAATTGTCTGATTAAAAGTCTTCAAATCCAACGGCTGTAATCTGCTCCAGAAATACAGAAAAAAGATGGAACATCACTTGGGCATATATAACTCGAAGAAAGCAAAAGCTGCTGGTTAGGTAGCTCACTAGCTGTCACGGTATGTTTACTGTTTAGTTTCCCAGATTTGCAAAATCCGGAAAAAAATTGCGATTTTTTTAATATACGGTTTTAAAATAAATATTATTGGTTTTATTATTATTTAAATAAAAAAATTATCAAAAAAATTATTATTTTTATTAGTTTTTTTATTATTAGATGTTTTATCGATTTTGTTAATAAAATTGATAAAACTTATCGATTTTGTTATTTTTTATCGATTTTGTTATTATTGAACATTTTATCGAAAATGTTAAAAAATATTAATATTTTAAATAAAAATAATAATATTTTAAGTATTTTTATCGACTTTATTATTTAAATAAATAAAATTAATAACATTTTTTTAATTATATATTAAAGTGTAACACTATAGAACTTCTCATTTAAAAAAAGTTGATGAATCTTTAGTGTTCTTCTATAAAAAAATACATGATGCGCGTTGCGTTAAATAATCTATTATGAGTAGTGAGATTTCAATTGTGTCGATAATATTGAGGTTTTAAGTGTTTATATTCAAATTTTATATAATATTGTGGATATCCTATAAATATAAATTTATAAAAATAACCGTCCATACATCAACATCATGTCATAAGTTGATTGATGTTTGAAGGGCATGTTTAGAAATATTTTATTATTAGATAATTATCTTTCAATTTTGTCACATTTGTGTCCAAAAGCTCTGAACTTTCCGGGCAAGTGAAGTTATCCTCATTGTAATATGACAGAAAATGAAAATGAAGTGGTTGGTGCATGAAGATCTAAATCCCTGCCATGGAGTTTCCAGGAATTAACCAGTTCCACGCAGTACATAAGATTATACATTTGGAATAGTTTATTTTTAAAAGTATTAATGTTTAATATTTATATTTTGGATGGATATCAAAATACGAGTTGAAAAAACCCAGATAACAGCTTGGTTCTTTCAATGAGGGAAGGGACGATATGAAGATTAATCGCCAAAAGAATCCAACTTTAAAAATCTAGGATATTTACAGATCTCGCCATCCAAGTACTTCTATTATTTATCCATTTTGAAGAGTGTATGTTCGTGGATTATTGGATTTTGAGTTTTCAACACAGTCAATACGTTGAAAGCTACAGGGACAGAAGAAACCATCTGGTGGGAGAGAGCTCAGGGATAGAAGCTAGAACCACTATCATAGAAAGAATCCAACGGCTGAAAAATGAAGAGAATGCTGGTGAAAGGCTAATCTTTCTCTGGTTTCACTCCATAAAGGCTACAGATAGATATAAAGAGATATAAAAGCTCTACGCTTAAAAAGGAGGGACCGGCCCGCCATTACTGCGACTCTTCGCACCTTCCTCAAAAACTCTCTTTTCTCTTGCGATCCATCATCATATTCATTCTTCACGTTCTACTTGGCTACTTGCCATTACTGCCATCCAAGAAATATTCAAGCTTTTGCTGCAAACTTGACAATTCCCTGTCTCAAAACCTTTCTTAGGTCCTTTCTGCTTCGTTTAATCTAATTTTGTGTTGGGTTGGGTTGTTTTACACAGAAAAAAAAGGTGTGCTATTTTTTTCTTTCTTGGGTGGCTTAGCTTCTCGTTTTATATGTATTTTTATATTCTCATGCTTGATGTTGTAATGAGAAGTGATCATTTTTATGGTGCTTTGCTTGATAGAAGGGATAAGTTATGGTTATAATAACGTATATCTGCTTAATTTCATTGTTTAATTCTGGTTTCTTTTAACCAAAACGTTCTTTTTTCTCCGTGTTTCAAGATCTTCAGCAGGAGAGGAGAAGAGGGTATTTGATTTTATGGGGATTTGCTTTAGTGCCAGGATCAACGAGAGCCCAAGTAACACAGGTAGTTTGAGTCTCTTAAAACAGCCTTTTCTTTCCCTTTTTACGAGCAACATTCCCATATTAATTAAGTTGATTTTGTTTTTAGTTGCTTTGGACTTCAGATTGGCTTGATTAAGTACTGTGATGTCTTCCTTTTTTTCTGGATATCTTTCATTTTATGTTGTTTCCTCTTTTGGGGTTCTGGTTGTTGGATGGCTTGAACTTTTTAAGCTGCAATTTAGAAATTTTGTTTTCCAGCAAAATTTTCTTATGCTTTTATTTTCTTGGCTATCAAACAGAAATTCTTTCTCTAGCTTGCTTTGAGATACTGAGACTGAGAGTATCAGTGTGTCACCTCTGTTGATTATTGTTGACATATGGTTCATGATCCTTAGAACTATTTTTTCTAGATCTCTAACCAGCTGACTGAAACCCTATCCTAGTTTCCATTAATTTGGTTAACATTTCGGTTTGAATCTAAATATTAGAAGATTGAGTTTTGACAGGAATGGGAATTCTACTTGTAAAATTGGATTATATCAATTAACTAATGCCTGCAATATTACATCTTCGAACAGGAGGGCTGAGTTCAAAGTACGTGAGCGGCGATGTGAAAGACACGAGCAGTACAAGCAGCAAAGTCTCATCATTTTCGGCACCTCTGACACCCCGGAGTGAGGGTGATATTTTACAGTCCCCCAATTTGAAGAGTTTCAGTTTTTCTGATCTCAAAATGGCCATTAGGAACTTTCGTCCTGATAGTGTGCTCGGAGAGGGCGGCTTTGGCTCGGTGTTTAAGGGGTGGATGGATGAAAATTCATTAACTGCTGCCAAGCCTGGAACTGGGACTGTCATTGCTGTGAAAAGGCTTAACCACGAAGGGTTCCAAGGTCATAGGGAGTGGCTGGTGAGTCCTTCACTTCACCTCATCCTTCTTTCTGTGTATGGTGACAGCCAATTTTGTGCAGTTTCCTTAATTGCTTTAAAGGTCCTAGAATAATGTTTCGTGATCGAGGTGCAGAGATTCACTGGGTGTTTCTCTTTGATCTTACAGGCAGAGGTGAATTATATGGGACAGCTTCATCATCCTCATCTGGTGAAATTGATTGGATATTGCTTAGAGGATGAACACCGTCTTTTGGTGTACGAATTCATGCCTCGTGGCAGCTTGGAGAATCATTTATTCAGAAGTGAGTTCTTTCTTTGCCATTTTTCTTATGAAATTGAACAAATCCATTTACCTTAATATTTGAATTTTCTGTACCAGGGGGTTCTTATTTCCAACCTCTTTCATGGAGCCTTAGAATGAAGGTTGCTCTTGGTGCTGCAAAGGGGGTTGCCTTTCTTCACAGTGCGGAAACAAAAGTGATATATCGGGACTTCAAGACTTCCAACATCTTGCTTGATTCAGTATGACGTATTTTTTTCATTTGATAATTTTTTGAAAACCCCGTCTTTCATCAACACCTCTGTGAACTTTTTTTTTCATGTCATTGCAGAACTATAATGCAAAGCTTTCTGATTTCGGGTTGGCCAAAGATGGACCAACAGGTGACAAGAGCCATGTTTCTACCAGAGTCATGGGGACGTATGGATATGCAGCTCCAGAGTATCTAGCCACAGGTACTTACTGATTCCATTTCAGGTGCTCCATTTAGTTTGCCTAATTGGTTTTCATCAGCTTTGGTACACCTGTGGAGTCTGGATAGCGTAACTTTGAACATTTTTTTCCCAAACGCAGGTCATTTGACCGCTAGGAGTGATGTCTATAGTTTCGGAGTCGTGCTGCTGGAGATGTTATCTGGCCGCAGAGCGGTTGACAAGAACAGACCATCTGGAGAGCATAATCTGGTGGAATGGGCAAGACCTTTCCTGACCAACAAACGTAAAATATTCCGTGTTGTAGATAACCGTCTCGAAGGCCAGTATTCAATGGAAGTAGCCTTCAAGACTTGCTTTGCGATGCGTGTCTACCGAAGCCAAATTTCGACTGCGCATGAATGAGGTTGTAACAACATTGGAGCAGCTCCAGGATTCTGGTGAATCGGGAGGTAATCAGAATAATATTAGCAAAGCAGCCCGGATACGCAGGCGAAGTACCGGTGATGCTAACAATGGAAGGAGCGTTGCTGCATACCCTCGGCCG